TGGGGGGGGTCTGAATTGAGCGATCAATTATTAGACCCGGACGTCCCAACACTTGCTTCGCAAGACAAACTCAAGGTATCCCCTAAAGGGCTACCTTTCGTGAATTGTCAACCTGCAAACTTATAGAAATTATGAACAACGTGTGGTAAGTTCTAGGTTTTTTTACATCCGCAAGCATGTAGTTGCAAATGCGCACGTGCAACAAATAGTTATATATAACTTGAACAACCAGAAACCAGCAACCAAGCAGTCCTCCTGGCATTCAGGCCTTTCCTTAACAACGCGTGTTTGATTTGTTTTAGTTCTTTGAATGCAATGGAACCTGCCGTCGCTAGGGCCCCGGCGTCCTGTTGATCAGCCAGTGGTGGGAGGCGGCGTGTCTAAATCGTTCAAGACCTTTGGCAAACCTGGCAGGTCAAGTCTTGGAAGCACAGGATTCCTCATACCAATCGTAGCAATGTGTGTGGAACTTGTCTTAACAGTCCTTATCAAAAGACTGGAGGAACAAAGAAAACACGCATATCTCTCTGTTTATACTTGCTGATGTACACGCGAGAAGTGATAGTGATAACAGCCGTTAAAGATTTTTTGGATATTTCAGTACAAATACAAGGTGTAAGTACATGGTCCACCTCTTAGATGGCCGTGTGGGTTCGGGGCCACTTTTTGTGTGTTGAAGAACAATTGATTGAAATTGCACGGGGGGTCACACGACATCAGACCAGTCCAATATGCGCAACATCCAATTATCAGCTGAATGCGCCCGCTTTGTCCAACACAGACCTAAAACTGAAAGATCGGCAAGGACCAGCCAAAGCTACCCAGACGACATGATGATCATTGCTGCACAGCATGGTGTCATGCACAATGTTTGTGGTAAAACAGGTTCTTTCTGCTATGTCAAGTGTGAGCCTATATAAATATAAATGGATGTTCTGCTCCTTTTTGCTGACTGCGTTTGGGTTGGGCTGTATCTCAGCCGTGATCCTGTGGAATCTTCTTGGAGTCTGTACTTGGCGGAGAACAGAAACAGGCAAATTTGACAGTTCAAGCAATGCTTGGATTCCTTGGAAGCGTCGGAACCGGTATTTGTGCTACAGGGCGGGAACGTGTTTCATAGCGTGGCTGGCTGCCATCATATAGCCAACAAGTAGAAAGACTACGCGAAGCTGAAACACTGTATGCATTGCAAAGCTCGGAGAGCTTCAAAGAAGACTGGATAGATACCGCCCAGTGACCACAGTCCGCTATGAGAGAAGATGTTTGATTGTGCACGTGCCATGTTCTAAGTGTGGCTTGGGGCGTTCTAAGCGTTCTAAGTGAAAAGACTACGGGTGTTCTAAGTCGCACGTTCTAAGTGTGTGAAAACGGTAAATAAGAGGGGTGTTCTAAGTAAAGGTTTTGAACTTTGAAAAAATCGAATGTTCGTCACCATACAGGCATACAGTACGCAGTACCTCATGCGTCATGTTTCAGAGAAGGCAGCGGGAAGTTCTTTTTGCGACCATGCAAAGTTTTTGAAACTACAGCACCAATCAACAACTAAAACACCAATCGCCGGCAGACATCATTCAAAAGATTGAATCCTGTCATCTATTGATGATGTTCGTCTATTTTTGTTAAATCCATTCTAAATTCTTTCACTGATGAAAATAGCGTTGCGCCATCTATTGAGGCCCACTGGATGCTCCAACAGAAACAAAATGCACCTGGACCTGGCGATGGTGACGCAGCGAAGGCAGAAGAACTCCACCATGTTGTTGCTAGCTGCGATCTTATCTTAATAGTTTGCCCCCGCCAATGGTGGAAGACTCCATGAGTGCGCCGACGAACGCAATGGACGAGGACTGAAGGTATTTGCCTAAGGCACAAGCGTCATAATAGCCAGTCTCCAACTTGGCGATCAAATCCCGTCGTCTAACAAATCGCACGACCGACTTCAAAGACTTTCAATTCTGAACGTGCATCTGCCGCTGCTGCGCTGGTTGCCTGCGCCCCTAGTTCAGGGGCCTTTGCGGCTTCAGGGTGATGTAAGTGGCGTGTGAGGGGTCTAACCATATCCTGCACACGTTGCACCGTGTTGCAATTCCCACCACAACCTTCATCCTTGTTGTTCCAAGCCCAAGCCAAACGGTCGAGACGTGGCCCACTGGAGAGCTCCATGGCGGACGGCATCGCATTGCATCGTCCCTCATTGAAGTTGGTGGTGAGCTACAGGTACCAGACGCGGCGGGAGGCGATGGATCAACAGGGGCAAGACCTTCCTGAAGGCAGAAGAATGCAGACTTCACGGATCACTTCAGACGGACGTCGTTCAGGCACTCCATGCCGTGAAGGGGCTCACATCTTTCGGATAGCGGAAGCGGGCAAAGATGAAGTGATTGATCATGAGGATCACCTTCCTTCGAAACTCTTCCACTCAACCTTGGCCTTCTTGATCTTCAGAACGCCCGTTTTGGGATGTTTCTCGTCTCCGCTTCGTCATCTAAGGTTCTTGACTCAAAGTGCCAGAGGGCCATGGGCCTATAATACTCACCCGAGTCGATCTGCTCACACAGATCTTCGATTCGAAGCTTCGTTTTCCAAGACACTCCGCATATGTTTCTCATGAAAGTTCACGCTCATGCTGCCAGCGGCAGTTTTCCACCGTTCGCACCAACATACGCCACAAAAGCATGCTTCCAATGCCCATACGACCCTTGGCGCGGCAACGCGGCGCATCTCAAACTTTTGCAGCGCCAGTTGAACAGCGAGAAAGATCTGTTCCCCACCTCCACCTGCAATGCCACTGGTTGCCAAGCACGCGGCTTCCAAGTCCGCCTCTTGCGTCAGTAGGACCTCTTCATTGTTAAGCTTGAATGGGGTAGGCGTTGAGATTTGATGAGGCAGGTGGCCTGTCAAACCCTGCGTTCAGATCTGGCACTGCTTGGAACTTGGTGGCCGGGGGGGCCTCTCTTCAGGAGGAAGGCTAGCCTTGCAACTTGATGGCGAGAGGGGCAGCACATTAAGAGGAGGAACACTTTTGAAAGTAACCTCCACGTGGCTCGGCGGCATTGCTGGAGCCGGCATGGAAGTTCGCGGCTGCAGCGGCTGCCCTTGAGGAAGAAGTCGAGCGTTGCAACTTGACGGGGCTGGCAGCAGCCGCTTTTGAAGCCTAATGCCATGACCGCGCTAGCGGAGGTGCTTGAGAAGGAGGGCCGGCCAAGAAAGAAGTGGGGGCCGCGCATTCCAAGCCAGCTTCCAAGTCGCTGAAGATGGCGGCCACAGCCGCAGGCAAATTCTGACTTGTGGTTTCTGCCCAGCACCTCGCCATCCCTTTCATCAGCTAGTGGACCATCAGGCCATCCAGCTGGAGCAGGGCCCAGCAACCACCGCCACCACTTGCAGTAAAAAGTGCAGATGACGGGCAGCATTGGCCCAAAGAAATCCGCCCGCACCGAAGGTGCCGAGGCGTTTTTATAAGGCATGCATTTTCCCGCAAGTACCGCAAGTACTATAGCTTTAGCTAGGGGGGGGGGCATTTTCGCTCTAGAATCCTGTGTCTTTTCACGTTTTTTGGAACCGGCTTAAAGTGCTGGAAGATAAGTTCGTGCTAATTGTTGCTATCTTGAAGCCCCTAGTGATGCAAGAAATGCAATTTTCTGCTTTGCATCATCTGCATCATCTGAGCGGTAAAGTGTCAGTGTAATTGGACTGAGGCCGGACATTTGGCTGAACAGGTTCCCCTCACGGGACTCAACATAGCTTCCATATTGCGTAACATAGCCCTAGAAGTCACTATCTAACGGACGTGTCTGCGAGATAGGGACTTGAACGTCCGGGTACGTGGCTGGTCGGGAGCAGAGATAAGCAGATCAGGTCCAGGAACGGTAACATTATCTCACGAGCATAGCTCCCATATGGTCGAACATAACCCCAGAAGTCACAATCTCAAGTATGCTTCCCCGAGATAGGTACTTGAACGTCGTAAACATGGCCCAACGAAGGCTCAAAAGGGACTGGAATAGAGTGAAGATATTGCCTAACATAGCCCTAGAAGTCACTATCTAAAGGACGTGTCTGCGAGATAGGGACTTGAACGTCGTAAACTGGAATAAAAAACCCCATCTAACGTGGCCAAACATAGCTTTCATATTGCCTGACACGTTGGGCCATGTTAAATCCCTATCTCGAAACATGGAATCTATGCTCGGCCACGTTGGGGAGGGGGGGGGGCACTTCCGGGGCTATGTTCGGTGGAAATATTGGCCCCTTCCATGCGGTGCGGGCGGTTACCGTCGCGAAGCGACGTGAATATCGGAAAACAGTTGTGACAGAGTTACAGGAGCCAAATCAGCTCAAGCAAAGGCAAAGAAAACACACTTGCAATCGGGACTGTAGAACCTGAATTGGACATTTTTACTGATGACACAAAATCAGGATAACACGTCTGACCAGCCTTGCTTTTGCAATAAACAAACTAGATCCCCAGCGGGGTCCTCTCTGTCCAAGGTCTTAGGTTAACCTCCAGAAGCATTTAGAGATTTTATAGTTGTGAGCACAGTTGTCAAACACAACGCTTGATGGTTGGAAAATACCTGCCTCCAGGTGTTTCTCCGAAGTCAAGCCTAGTCCTTGCAATTCGCACATGCCGTGGAGGTCAGGGACTATTCTTGAGATCACTGGATGACAAGTCTAGTGATGTCCTATCATCCTATGTCTCCATGTTTCAAGCCAGCTAACAATGTGGACGTTCGTGTTCATGGGCATGCGAAAATGAAAGCAAATTTTGGAAACACCTCAACTATCTTCAACTCATGAAAGCTCCATCTGTAAGACACCAGAACCATTTGCTGCAGAGGATAGCTGCCAACCAACCTCTTCGAATACGAAACAACAAATCCAAACCACTGGTACTGCTAACCTCTTCGACACAAACTCTGAAAAATTATAGAAGAGGACCAAGAATTTGTTAACATCGCAAAGGGGATAGTTCACAAACCCCTTGCGCGAATAGCTCTTCAATTTACAAAGAGGAAAAAAAACTGCAATTGCATGTTTTGCTTTTGGGGAGAACTGCAAGTCACTGAAATTACCTCTGATTACCTGTTAGAGTTCACCTTGTCGGTCACCAGCACGGCTCTGCGGCATGTCATCTCAAGACATGGCTCTACGGCTCTGCAGCTCTGGCTCAGTCGAGCGGGGAAGATTTACGTCGGAGACGATGGGTTTACGTTTTGCCGACTGATTGCACGGAGTAACATCTGATAACTCGTAAATGATTGCCATCCTTTAAGCAAAACGACCTCCCGTTCAACACCAGAAGCCCTCACAGACATCAACAGACTATCGTGCAAAAAGCAATTCATTCAAATTGAAGGAGACTTTTTCCGGATACGCGTTGCGTTCAAGGCCAATTTGGCCTCCATGCATCTGCGCCGACAGTGAACATCGAAGCAGTGAACATCAGCGCTCAATAGAAGGCTTTTGTCCCAATGCTAAGCTGACTAAAGAATGTATGTGCCATATTCCTTTGATTATCGAACAATCTCTATAGCTCTATGCTGACTTGCTTCTTCTTCAATGGACGTACTGAATCCATGCTCGGAATGCTTCTGGCATCGGCAGAGCTGAATTCCTGAATCGCCGCCTGCCAAAACAATGGAATGTTCGACGGACTGGAAAGGTGGCAAACTCGAACTTTTGCAACATCACATGGAGCAGGCAGCCTGACAGTCCCCGTGTCCCCAGCCACTTCCACAATGAAATGACTCAAGTCAACTGCAGGGCATGCAGCACGCATTTATATATATATATATAACCACAGTCTTCTAGTCCTCTCGCAAAAAACTGGATGAACCACGCAAGGATTATATTCTTGCAACCACCAAAGGAATCTATGATGTTCAATGGTTCACTCATAACTTGAAAACCAAAAGCTGAAGCTCCAACGCTCGAGGGCCCGCCTTCAGCGGGGTACATCAGCGATGGCTTGGCCATCTGATGGGCCCTGCAGAGAGACAGTGTGTCGCTGGTCTTTCACCAGCTCGCAAGGTTGCTATTCTAGTTTCTGACTATCTAAGCATCTTCCCGAGGTGCAAAACAAACCAGAGAGTGCTTGATCACGTTTGCTGAGGCCATGGTCTATGTTGTTCTGCTTCAATTTCCCCAGGCTTCGAAGTTTCCTGTATCAGTATATGAGCGATTCTGCTTGCTTCTTGTATGGGCTTTGCACATTCGAATTGGCTGAGTGTATTTTCATTGTCCAAGGTTTGCACACCACATATGCTGGAGGCTGTTTTCAGATTTCTGCATAGTCTTCAGGCATGATCAGCTAGGTTGAAACGTGTATATTTTGCTGTAAAGATTTCAGCAGAATCAAGTTCAAAGCAATTAGAGGAGCAGCCAAAAGACCCTTGGCGCTCCCATTCCCGCTATATTTCTTTCGCTAGCCACCTGCCAGATGGTGAATCTGTCCTTTCAGCCAGAGGTTTTCCCAGCTCAGCTTCATGAGCTTATCTCAGCAGTTCGAGACATTCATTTGACAACCGTTTCAGACCAACTTGCTTTGAAGCCATGGTCAGAAGGCAAATGTGGATGCATCTTCCCGGCACAAGCTTTACACTGTCTTGTGCCTGCAGCCTGTGTGAAAGTGCCACGTCATGTGCGCAGCAAACTGTTACCCATGTTGATGAGTGTGTTATTGTTTTCGAAGGGAAATGCAAATGTTGAAAACCCAATGACAAATCCTTTACTAAGGCAAAAAAAAAGTGTGCCACCAACCGGCGAAAGTGGGTAATGTGTCTAAGCACAACATGCACCAGATGGCCTCCAAAGCTGGAGTTTATTCATAGTGCCTTACAGCTCAGCAGACACACTTGCCGCCAACAAAGCTGGCTGAGAAACACGTCTCAGAAGGAGCGCTATTCAAATGCAGGCCACAGGCAAACTTGAAAGCCTTTCAATGCCAAGAAAGGTTTGCTGATTGAAGTGAACACTTGAACACTTGTTTGATATCACTCCGCTCTCGGGCCACCCACGTCTCGAGGCCAAAGACAGGTTCCGCCGGCTCCAATTGGCCTTGGCAAGTTGTCCTTCGGTCGAAAGGTTCACAAAAGGTCATTGCTAGTAGGTTTCTGTGTCCTTTTTGAAGTTTGAAGGATTCGTGTGTGTCTTACATCAGGCGCCAGCGTGACAGAACCTCCAGCTTTCGCTGCCGGGGCCTGCAGAAAACCCGGGGCTGCGCACCATCTTCACAATCGATCTTACGATATCTTACGTTATCGTCACAGGGTGGTCGAGTGCTGAAAGCCGAGTGACTCGATGTTGGCCATGTCCACACGGCGTTCTGCCACCCAATTCTTGAGCTCTTCTCCGGTCTCAGATTGTCAAGCAAACAGGCAAGGACGCTACTCGGAACAAGAAGCTACTAGGGGCTCCTGGCATCACTACTAGGAGCAAGGACGCTTAGGGTGTACACAAAAAGAGTCATCACCAAATCCATAGCATGGAGCCGACCAGTCTGAGAGTGCAACAGTGTCCAGGACTTGGCAGGTCTCGTACACTGAAGATTGAAACTCCTGCAAAACACGAATTCCATGAATTTCAAGCTGAGTTCGCCAAGACAATGGTCACAATGATCACTTTACACTTACCGTAACGACTGTTGATAAACAAGTGGGCCTTTGGTCATGTCCAACCACGACCTTATATATAGTTTTGTTGATTTAGTCAGTACGGTCCCGCCTCAAAAAGTCGCATTACAGGCATTTCTTGATCAGGGCTCGTGCTTGTCGCAGCCTGAATCCAGCGTGGAACTATAAGTTCTGAAAGGGTTGCAACGAACATGTTGAAAGAGAGACTGAAAAGTGTCCATTCGCCGGAGTCGACACTTCGATGTGGTTAAGCTTCGAGCATGACACTTCCTCATGATTCTGGAGGTGGTCGCGGAATCGACACCAAACTTGTAGAAGTCTTCCTGCCAAGACTGAAGGACGAACAACACTGATTTGGCAAAGGTTGGCACAGCTAGGCACCGCCATGTGACACAAGCGATCACAAAAATGGGTTGGATGAAAGCAAGCAAAGAACATCAAAGAACAACACAGCATATCACTCACAAAATCACATAAGAAGAAAGAAATCGGCCAAAGATTGGGAACAGCTTTTCTGGCCTCCATGGCCGGTCACAAACTCTCTTTTCAGTGTTATGTTTTGACGCTCCAATGTTCAACAGCAAAGGCGTGCAAATGAATGAGAAGATCTGTAAATCAGCCCAAATCTTTGGAGAAAAGAACCTGAGATCATTCGAGAGTTCGTACTTCATGCCTCAAGAGAATGTTGGAGACCAGTTATGGTAGCCTAGACTGATAGCTCTTCAGGAGATCAAGAGGTCACCTCACAACGAAATCGAAAGAAATTGAAAGAAGAGTCCAGCCTTCTTGACGATTTTCCAACCGGGCACGGCAGGCTCTTCACCATCATCTGTCAGGGTGCCAAATGACAAACTCCACAAGCACTGCTGACTGTGATGGGTTGCTAGAGCTGTTAACCCACCTTCTGGCTTGAAGTACTCGATCAACACATCCTCGCAAGAACAAGAGAGTCTCAGTGTCCCGTGCTCCCGTCTCTCCCTCTCTCAGACTCCAGACATATGGGATCCGACTGATCCGCTTGGTCTCAGGCCTTAGAAGCTGTCTCGCCGGACACAAGCAGGACGCAGATCGCTCCGAACGACGCAGGATAGCTCATGCTAATGATTTGGTACAGTATCTCAATTTAGTAGTTCCTTATTACGATTCTTGTTGAAACATACAAAGAAGGCAGGTTCGGACTCGTTGTCGGTTCTTGTTTAGACAAATTGCCACATTCGAATGACTGCAGTTTCCAGCTTCTCACCTCTCTCACCTCTCAGTTTCCAGCTTCAGCAGCGGCAGAGCCCGCAGGATCTTGCTCTTTGGCCCGGCCCTGTTCCACTTTAAAGGATGGAACAGTCCCAGGATGAAACCGAAAATCCGCCACCAAAGGTGCTAAGTTTTGGGGGTGGCATTCTCAACAGTTTGATATCACAGCAGCTGGCCTTGAGATATTGACTTCAAATGTTCTGAACACAAGGTCTCTCTAGCACGACCCAATCTTAACAGAGGAATCATGCGGTTGTGCAAGTTGTTTTGCACACTACTGTAAGTGAGCCAAATGTCCACGCAAAATGTGTTTCTCGTGAACAACGGATACTTCATACGTCTATATATATACTTGCCAACATGACTGTCAACATGGGCCCAACTCTGGTAAATGGCCCAACATCGACCAAAGCCTTGGCGAGGGCGAGAAGAATGATATCAGAGCCAGGTTTCAGCTATCGACACCCGGATTGCCACGCACTACACAATACTGCACCTCACATTAGACTTTACATGACTGTCAACGTACACACCACCACGTCGTAAGTGACAACCATCATTTCGGTTCGATTTGTTCATTGCCCTATGACACATCTATGCTGATCGCCTCACTCGCGCAGCGTGCCGAATAGAAATCGTGCCATTCAACGCAACTAAAGAAAGCAACACGGACTGAATCCCTCTTCAATTTCAAAGTCTAGCAAGCAAGCCAAGAAATGGAATCTGTTCAACACTTAAAGCTCACACCAACTTGCAGACTGCCGAATTCTCACACAAACAAAGCAAAGTGTCTATCTGCCTCGATCGCATAAAGCGCAGCACGCTCCGGACATCATAGCTCCGCTGACCACAGGGAAGCGATTGAGACATGAAACTTCACAGTGGATCAGGAAGCTAGTAGTAACAAGTGCATCGCTACTAGTAACAAGTGCCTTACTAGTAATAGTAGGAACAATAAGAATTTAACTAGAATTGCAATTACTAGCAAAGCTGGAAATGTGTGGAAAAAGAGGAGGATCGAATCTTCAGATTCAGTGCTCAAAGAAACGACATAAAGCTGCAAGACGGGTCCGGTCTAAAAAGAAAACCCACCTTCCACACAAAATCTTCCAACATCATCAGAAACTGCTGCGGAAGGGTCTGCTGGGATCGCCTCAGCGCAGTTATTGCACGCTGCATGCATACACTAGCAACATACTCCATGTGGATGCATTGCTTGCACTTTGCTGGCACTTTGCTTGCACTCGCAAGCGACCGTCATGCATGTATCTCATTGTATCTCACGGTTCAAATGCAAGAGAATCTGAGCTCTTCACCCTCTTTTCTTCCTAACCTGAGCCAACCCCGGAGCCAAAAAGAAGGCT